AGTTAGAGAGAACTAGCCAATAAGTATCCTGAGCCAAAGGACACATAGCTTATAAAATATAAGTCTCTGTGTGTATCTGAATTGTGGACGGATTAGGCTGAACACTAACTTGTGCTTACACATTGCTGTTAATGGAACATTTACTGAGTTGCTTTGTTTTGTGTACAGGGATAGTAGAGTCCCTGTTCTAACAGTTCACATGGTCAGCAATGTGTTCCTGAGAAACAATGCTGACCCCAATATTCCCTTTCTAAATGTCATATGCAAACTTGTATTGAGTTTTTTTTGCATCCTGCGCCCATTTGTAGTTTGTTAGTAATAAAACAATGTAAAAGAATTTCTACATGATCATCCTTTGCTTTTCATAAATTTGGGGGTCAAATACCAACAAATGTGGCTGAAGAAATGTTCCTTTTATTTTGGTCAAATTACTGTGTATGATGTGACTTCTTTAATTTTTAGTACCAAAAATCTTATGTATTACACGTAGCTGTTAAAGTCTATAGATAATTAAAATGTAACTCAGAAATAAAAAATTAGTATTTGAGTTTGCTATTTGGAAAAGGTATTGTCCTATTGTATCAATTTCCTGTTACCTTGTGAAGGCAAATATTCTAAATGTCTAAACTATTCAAATTGTTGTGCCTCCTTACCCAAAGGACATGGAAACTTGTGATCACATATTAACAATATATAAACTCATAAGTTTTGCCTTATCCATTGTGCATTGTTTTATTTGACTCAAAAAATCTTAGAGAAATTCATAAAACAAGTAATAAATTATGTGAGCATAGATTTGCAAAAATGAGTAGTTTTGTTGGTACCAAGAATACAATCAGATAAGGAACTGTGTGTGTGTGTGTGTGTGTGCACACGTGTGACTGCGTGCACGTGTGTGTCTGTATCTGTGTGTGTGTGTGTGTGTGTGTGACTGTGTGCATGTGTGTGTCTGTATCTCTGTATGTGTTAAAGGCTAAAAACCAAAAATTGAAAAATGTGTTACTTTAATTTATATCTATGCACATGCTTTACAATACCCAAAGAGGCCTCAGGAGGAAGTCTTAGCCCCTGGAGCTGGAATCACAGGCAGAATTAATACACTAAATATGGGGTCTAGGTCAGGATATTGGACCTGTATCATTACTATATAGCAGTTGCTTTATACCAAGAATCTGGAGGAACTTTCATGAATAGTAAATAAACAAAAATACTTGTAGTTGATTTTGTATTATGGCATGTCCATCCTGAAACACTTCTTGAGATATCTGACCTTGACATTCCTGTGCTCACAGCATTTTGGGGGCGTACATACCAAGTTAATCTCTGTCTCTTCCTCACTCCACCCCATTTCCTTATGCACTCAATCCCAAGTAAAATTAACATAAAATGACTACATGGGGATATTATTATGTAAAGCAAAAAGTAAATTCATTTAGACATTGTGTACAAAGTTATTTTATTATCTTGATTGTAGTTTTTCTGCCTGTAAACTTCAGTTGTTAAATATATTTTTATTTTAAAAACAATCTTTTTTCATTTCATATACTAATCCTAGTTTCCACTCCATCTGCTCTTTCCACTACCCTCACCTCCTACCTACCCAACCCCCACCTGCTCTGCAAAGAGGATAAGGCTTCCCATATGGGTTCCAGAACATTGAGGCAGGACCAAGGCCCTCCCCACCTATATCTAAGTAGAGAAAGGTATCCCCATAAATAGAATGGGCACCAAAAGACCAGTTCAATCACTAGGGACAAATCCTGGTCCCACTGCCATTGTTCTCACAGACATCTCAAAGCACATTACTGTCAGTCACATTCAGAGGGCCTAATTTGATCCTCTGTAAGTACCCCCTCTGGGGGTCCAGAATCAATGAGGACCACTAGCTCAAGTCCTCTATTTCTCTGAGTATTGCAAAACTGTTCTTGACACCTTTGCTTATGTTAAAGCTCTTCCCTTTCTTCAACTGGGTTCTGGGAGCTCAGCCCACCTCTCAGCTCTGGATCTCTGCACCTGCTTCAATCAGTTACTGAATGAATTTTTATGATGATAATATAGGTAGTCATCAATATGATTACAGGTAAGGACCAGATCACTCACCCTCTTCACTGATGCTTAGTGTCTTAGCTGGAGTCATCCTTTTGGATTCCTGGGAATTTCCCTCTTGGCAGGTTTCTCACTATCCCTGTAATGATTCATGCACTCGAGACATCTTTTTCCTTGCTCTCCCTCTATGTCCTTCATCCATCTTGATCATCCCATTCCAACTTGTTCTCCCCCGTTCTCCCTTCACCTTCCTCTTCTGCTCCCCCCCAGGCTCCCTGCTTTCTCAGGGGATCTTTTCTATTTCCCTTTCCCAGAGGGGATCCACATATGTCTCTCTTAGGGTTCTCATTGTTACTTAGATCTTCTGGGTTTGTGATCCAATGTCTGGTAATCCTTTCCTTTACACATCTATTATCCACTTATGTGTGTATATATACCATGTGTGTCTTTCGGGGTCTGGGTTACCTCAATAAGGATGCTTGTTTCTAGTTCTTTCTGTTCACCTACAAATTTCAAGATTTTTTTTCTGCTGAATAGTGTAATTGTGTAATTGTACCACATCTTCTTTATCCATTCATTTGTTGAGGGGCATCTAGGTTGTTTTCAGGTTCTGGTTACTACAAATAATGCTACTTTGAACATAGTTGAGCAAAATTCCTTGTGGTTGTACTGAGCCATCCCTGCAGTCCCGAATGACCCACAGAGGGCTCTCATGACCCACAGGGGGCATAGGGGTGAAACTTCTCCTTCTGACACAAGTTATTGAGGAATACAACTGGAGTCAGAGATAGGTTATTAACTGGTAATTTATTAGGGGATATACACACACAAGGTAACCAGTGACCAGGTTGGCACTCCGAGCAGATCAGACCCAGAACACTTCCCAGTGCTGGCTCAGCCCAGAGACAGCCCACATGCTGGCTCCCCTCATTTTTGGCATGATACCCAGTACCTGTAATCAGGGTCTCTCCCTACACCCCTCCATAGGGATTGGGTTTCCAAAGTCCTTTTGTGGTCTAAATAACCATTGGCTGCACTCCAAGAGGACCCATAGACTTCCCTGGCCTCCTAGCTGGCACCCACATTCAGAGGGCTTGGTTCGGTCTAATGCTGTTTCCATTACGTAGTCCAGCTGTGTCCAGCTTTACAACTAGTGTCTCTGTGCTTTCACTAGGTCAGGTCAAATGTTTCTGTGGGTTTCTCAAGCACAGTCTTGGCTCCTTTGTTCATCCCTCATCCCTCTCCACACCTGGATTTCAGGAATATGGCTCAGTGTTTAGCTGTGGGTTCCTGTTTCTGCTTAGATCAGCTACTGGATGAAAGCACTAAGAACGGCAACCATGGTAGGTGTCAATCTCATTATAGGGGGAGGGCATCAAAGGCAGCCTCTCCACCACTGCCTAGATTCTTAGTTGGGGTCATCCGGTGGATCCCCTAACATTTTCTCTGTCCCAGTCCTCTCTCCAAACCTGGCTCCCTTTATGAAGGCATCTCCTTTCTTGCCTTCCATTTTTCCTTTTCTATCTCAGTCCTTCTCTTTGCTCCTGTTCTCCATCCCCTTCTTCTCCTCCCAACTCCCTACTCTCAAGATCTGTGCCTCCAATTTGATCAGGGGTTCTTGTCCCCCACTCCTTCTTCAGGGGCTATGTGTTCTACTCTTGGGGTCCTCCTTGTTTCCTAGTTTCTCTGGTAGTGTGGATTGTAGGCTGGTAGTACTTTGTTCTATGTCTAATATCCATATATGACAGAGTTTATAGCCTGTTTGTCTTTTTGTCATAGTGTTACCACACTCAGGATAGTTTCTTCCAGTTCCATCCATTTGCCTGGGAATATCAAGGTTTTATTGTTTGTTTGTTTTCTGATGAGTAAATTGTGTAATTACACCACATTTTCTCCATCCATTCTTCAGTTGAGGGGCATCTAGGCTGCTTCCAGGTTCTGACAATTTAAATAATGCTGATGTGAGCATAGTTGGATATATGTCCTTATTGTATGAATGTGTATTCTTTGGGTATACACACCTAAGAACACCTTATTTTTGAGAAAGAAGCTAAAGTTATACAATGGAAAAAAGAAAGCATCTTCAACAAATGGTGCTGGCATAACTGGATGAAGACATGTAGAAGATTGCAGATAGATCCATATCTATTGCCATGTACAAAACTTAAGTCCAAATAGATCAAAGACCTCAACATAAATCTACCCTCTAAAACACACACTTATACATACACACACTCAGAGACAGAATAAGAAAGAGAAATAGAGAATTATTTGAGATACAATGAGGGTTGAAAAATAACATGGATTATCATTTAAATTGTCTTACAAATAGTCAAATGTTATAAAAGGTATAATTTTTTTAAAACAGGAACAAGTACATCCACACAAAAATCTTTTTCTGAACACAAAGCAAATACATAATTTTGTATTAAATTTTATCATCAAGAATAAAATATTTAAATTAAAATCATTTACCAAATGTAATCTCATATTTAAAACATGAGCTAGTTCATATTTCATACAAATTCATCTCCACTGAATTATTTAAATAAATATTTTTTCAAGATTTGCAGCCAAAGCAGCAATTTCTGAAGGAAGATGTAAATATCTGATAGGTACAAACTGATGCCTGGAAACTCTTTGTGTTTTCTCAGGCACCTATCCTGCTGCATGATACTGGGAACATCCAATACTTTAGGGCATAGACTGTATAGAAAGGAAAACAAAGGTCTGGAATAATATCACTATAAAATCACTATAAATCTAATATTCATAAGACATTCAGTGAGTGGCCATCCAAGATCCCAGGTGCTACTATTTTGTCCTAAGTGACAATAACATGTAAGAAATACAGTATTTATGAAAATATATAGAAAATAAGAACAAAAGCAGAGCATTTTACTCTTATTTCCTGTATTCCTAACATTTATGCAATTTGGCATGTTCTCTCTCTCTCTCTCTCTCTCTCTCTCTCTCTCTCTCTCTCTCTCTCACACACACACACACACACACACACACACACACTCACTCACTCACAAACCAAAATTTCACCGCAATAATACTGATATATACAGAATTATTTGAGATAATTTTAAGGATCAAAAATAACATTGACTGTCACTTAGCAAGTCTTAAAAATAGCCAAATGATGCAATAGAATATTTTTTCAAATTTCAGTAAAAAGTGTGTAACACAATAAAATCTTTTTTCTTAGAGGACAAAGACACCTTTATATATATTATAAATTCATCTTTATTGAAATATTTAAATGACAGTTATTGAGGTTTGGAAGCAATTATGAAACAGATAAGTATCTCCTTAGTGAACTCTGATGCATGGAGAGCCTTGGTATTTTCATAAGCTTCTATCCTATTCCATGTGACTAGAATCATACAATTTCCTGAAAATCTAGGCAGATCTGGAAGGAAGGAGAGACACTTGGTATAATAATAAAGTGAAATTCTTCTTTTAGCAAAAATAGGTATGCCGGTAGTTTTTTGAGCTATAAAGCAAACTTACATAGTGAGAAATATTTCTTTCATTCCAGGTATGCCAGAATGGTAAACATAAAAACATAATGGAACTTATGCCAAAAGCTAACAATCTGTCTGGTAAATTTTCTCAACTTCTTAAACTTAACACAGAACTACAGATAAACGATGCATGTTAACTTAGCAACCATCTCTACTTGACAATAACATTGATGGACCTTTCAGTTCCAAATGGCCAATGCTGAAAATCGATACACATAATCACCACATTGTGTACATAGTGTGGGCTAGTTTTACATATATTTGCATATGCTCAAAAACAATTTTTATAATAAGTTGCATTTATCTTGACCTTTATTGGAGCAGACATAGTATTGCAGCAGGAAGCAGAAAGAAGTAGTCCAAACAATTAAATACAGTCTTCACGTAGGAAATCGCAAACTCTGTCAACGAAGTATACACGTGCATATATTAATATGTACGTATATATGTATAGAATATATAAATATACATATACACATACATAAACATATATACACATGAAAGTAGCTGAAATGGATCAAAGTATATTTGGAGAGATATTATGAATATTGCATATTTTATATCATGTAGGAATATCAGAGTTATCTCTCTTGTTTGCCAGTAATAAGTTATTTGGTTTACTTCTTGGCCAAAAGTATCCATATGGTCCCCACTGGAGCTTCACAGGTCATTTTCAAACCATGGTTCTACTTTCAAATATGATGGTCAGAACGTTTTTCTGAAATCTGTACTTACTTATGTATCATAGAACAGAAACCCCTCCTTCCAATGTTTTGTTAGAAGCTTCATGTGTATTGATTGTCAGTAATATAGCTGAAGGTTAATTGTAACACAAATTATAAAAGAATCCAGAGACTGTTATAGGGGTTCAGGCTATAAACTGAAGGTCAGAAAAGCAAAGCAGCCAGCCACTAGCTCTCAATTCAAGCTCTGGCTGAAAGGGATGATCCATACACAACCTCTTTACCAAGTTATCAAACTGCTGCCTGTCAATGTGACTGAAAAATGAATGCCTCTTATTGGATTCTGAACACCATACTTTTATACCCCTCCACTTCTAGTATTAAAGGCATGTGATCTGTTACTATTTTAGACATATTCAATCTCGTGTATCCCTGGGTGGCCTTGAACTCACAGAGATCCATCAATCTCTTAATCCTGAGTCCTAGGACTAATGGTGTGTACCACTGTCTCCTAGATTCTGGCTGCTGGGATTAAATTGTGTGCCTGGCTTCTGTGGTTTATGGCTTACTTTGCTTTCTGAATCCTCAGGCAAGCTTTAATAAATCATAAATAATAGCTAACCAACAGGTACAGAATTTCTCACTCTCATTAGTTACATACCCTAAATCAGAAAATAATGAGCAGTCTTCAGTTACATTATTACCATAGAGTCCTAAGTATGAGGGAAGTAACCACCAACTTAGGAGGATAATGATTAACTTTGTGAGATGAAAGATATAGCCAACACTGCAAAAAATGGCCATGAACCTTAAAATAGAATGGTCACAGACATAATAAAAATGATTATTCTCATTTTGATAGAGGAATATAGAATTAAAGTAAGTCCAAATGACATATTGTTGTATCCATATCTATTAATAACCACCAATGTAGAATTATTCTTCATCTTTCTGTTTGTCACAGTGCTATTATTAGGGACAGGACACTTGACACCTGGTTCTATGTGCCTCATACATTATAATTTTCTACAGTTATTATTAGTACTTGCTACATGCTACTTACAGGAACTACTCATCATTTTCTTAAACCCATGTAATCGTGAAAAATTATAAATACTATTTCTTCAAACTAGAGATAAGAAGAGCTCTAGGACTATTAAATACAGTAAGCAGAACTTATCACACACACATGCAACTATGTATAACAAAAATTATTATGACAGTAGTTATATATTTGAAGTAGGAAGAAGAATACTCAGGAAAAGTTGAAGAGATGAAGACATAGAAATTATGTAAATATACTACTCTATGAAAATTTAAAAATTAAAATGAAATAGTAATAGAATTTATAAATTATGGCATAAGCACAAGAAAGAGGAAGATGGGATAGCACATTGGGGAAAACATTACTAATGCTCATACAAATATTTGAAATCATTAATTACCATTAAAAAACTAATTTCAAGGAAAGAATTTTAAAATTCAACTAATCAAGTCATGAATACATGCCAGTTTTCTAAATAATAAATGGAAGTATATACAGACTATCCTCAAGGGCTCTTTATTATCCATAGTTTTAGAAATAAAAGAGAAACTTTTTATTTCTCAGAGAAATTATTGGCAAAAATGAGGAATAAGTCTTTCCAATTCTTACATATTTTTTTATGGCAAGAAGGACAAACCACTCTTCAAGGAAAGGACATCATGTTGTTTCAAAAGAAATAGTAAGATGTGCACACAATGTCTAGATTTTAAACATTTAGCCAGAAAATGTATTATTACATCACGGCAATTCAATTACATTTTACACAAAAGGAATAATAATGGATTCAAGACAGAAAGCACCTTTACCTACAACTCCACTGTTTAGGTGTAGGTCTGTGTCACAGTAAAAGAAGCACCTGCTCAGTGCCTGAATCTGAAACTAGCATGATCAGCAAATGAGAAAATTCATCAGGATCAGAAAAGGAGGAAAATGTTGGAGTAATAAATAATTTTATAATATATTTGCTAAAGAGTAAAATAGTTCATGTGAATAGTAAGATCTATATAAGGTTTATAGAGTTGGAAAATACCACATAAATGGTCTTAACATCACTATAAATCTAATAATCATAAGACATTGAGTGACTTATCATGCATCTTCACGGTTTTACTCCTTTATTCTCATTACCTAACTGATTCCAAAATTTGCAGAAAACCTCAAAAATTCCAGTATCAATGAAAATAAAAACAAAATCAGAACAGTTTACTCATAATTCCTGTTTTCAAAACAGTTATGTGCACACACACATACACACATACAGAAACCTATACAAAATACTCATAATTGCTGTGCAATAGTCTTTTTACACTGTAAACATGTATTATTCTCATTGGTCTATAAAGAGCCAAGTGATCTATAGATAGGCATGCAGATGTTAGGTGAGTGAGAGAGCCAGACTTGGAGGATACTAGGATGAAGGGTGAGCCAGATGCAGAGGAAACAGGACTTGCAAAAAAATTAGGTAACAAGCTATAAGTCACGTGGTTGAACTTAGATAAAAACATATGGGTTAATTTAAGTGGTAAGAACTATTTAGTAACAAGTCTAAGCTATCAACTGAGCATTTATAATTAATATTAAGTTTCAGGGTGGTTAAAGCTGGTCAGCGGTCCCAATGAAAATCTCTGTCTACAAATGGTGCCCAAACATTTGGCACCTACATCACATAAAACCTGATAAAGCTTAAAAACAGGTGCTAAATATATAAAAATGGAATCAAATATAGCTTCCTAGTCTCATGTCTCCCATGTGATCTATAGTACAGAGACATGACTCCTAGGCATTTTGGGCTTCAGCCACCAGTGCAAGTCCCACCAGCATGAGCTAAGCCACATAGCAGATCCCCATAGTGTCTCACACAGGCCTGTGTGAAAGAGATATCTGCCATGACCATGCATTAGTGGTAAGCTGAGCAGTGACAGTGGCTGAGATAACAATTTAAGATAAATCTCGTGAAATAATAAAGCAATACAGTAAATATGCTGTCTATACTGGACAACTAAGTTATGAAGTAAAGTGACTGCAGAACTTGCCATAAAAAAGTGTGGTCCTTCAGGCATCCTGCTTTACAGAAGAAAACAACAGAAGAACTTCCCCAATACAAAACAGAACAGATCTTCAAATGTCATGCTTCATTAAAAAGTCTGCCAGGCACGTAGCCTATGGGCTGATACTGGATGCCCCAACATTACAGAGAATTTTTTTTGTGACTGTCCAGGCAGTGAGATATCACTGCCAATTCTAGAGTTTATATAATATCCTTCTGGGGTCATTGATGGAGTGGAAGACAAATATTATGGATATGGTTTTCCTTAGTTATAATAAAAAAAGTTAAACATAAAACTTTAGACACAAAAGATAGGATAGATAAAAATACTATGTTGAAGTTAAAACCTTCCTTTCCAGTTAGACACAAAAGAGGAGATGATGGGGAATGCCCTCCTGTATGCTGTGAATATATTTTTCTCTTATTGGTTGATGAATAATGCTGTTTTTGCTAATGGGCTCCCAGAATGTAGCCAGGTAGGAAGTATATGTTGGGCTATCAGATTAGGAGAATGCTTGGAATAGGAACACAGTGACATGACAGAGGAAGACATCATGTGGCTTATGAGGAAGGAACATCATGGGTATCACATATAAACCAAGACCATGTAGAGATACACAGATTTAAAAAACATGGGTTAATCATTAAGAGATCGTCAATAACAAATCCTGAGCCATACAGTTATAATTAATATAAGGCTCTGGGTGATCATTTGGGACTGAAGGGTAGGGGGAATAGGCTGGAGAGAAACTTCCTCCTACATCAGTGTTCTCTGTGCTTTCAATTAAATGCATGAGCCTACACAGTAAAGATATATAGCTAGAAATACTTCTTTCATTCCAGGTGAAGCACGGGAAAATGCAACCCACCTATGAAGCTAACAATAAAGTTTAAAATTTGGCAACTGGAACATGCCTTTAATCCCATTCTGGGGACAACCAGGGATACAGAAGTTCTTACTGTTCAGCACAGGCTACAGAAAGCAACATTGCCTTGAGGCAAATAAAACAAACAGGAAACTAAAAACAAATCAACAAACAAAAAATATAACACTGACACACCAACTTATCATTCTAAGAGACAGGAAAATTGTAGGGAAATTTATCTAGCCAAAGAAACACACCCTGAGCAGAGAAGGTAGAGATTAACAATTTAAGTGATGACTGAAAGAACACATTTCTACTTGACACTAATATTGATAGGCTTTTATATCCCAAAATGGTCAATGCTAAATTGGATACACATAATCCACACATTATATACATAGTGTGGGTTAGTTATGTACACATTTGCATATGTTTGAAAATTAATGAGTTAGAAAAGGTATTTAATTTGATATTTACTATAGCACACATGGAATTGTAAGACGAAGCAGAAAGAAGTATGAAATAATATAAATACAGCACTTGTATAGGAAATACTCAACTACATCAAGGGTGAATAACCTATTTACACACACACACACACACACACACACACACACACACAGGGTCCAAACTAAGATGCTTGTATTGTAAATAGAAATGTTACTTTCAAGCCCTGCTCAGAGTCTACCAATTTGCATATACTTTCTCAGAACATACTAATGATTAAAAAACTAATCTCAAGTATTTATTTCAGAAAGTAATGAACTTCAGAATAAATTTCATAGTATACATATATACTCGCAACCATTCAGGTTTGTATGTGTTATTTTAAATGTGGTTCCACACATGTTTGCATTCATTTAGCATTCATTTTGCTTTTGCAGTTCCCATTCATTTTCATGAAACAATTTGTTCAATATCAATATAAGAATATCAAAACAAAAAATACACTACTGGATGAAGGTTCTAGGATGGCATGTAGGGTAGTCATCAATCTCATTATCAAGGAAGGTCATTTAAGGTAGCATCTCCATTATTGCTTAGATTGTTTGTTGGGGTCATCCTTGTAGATATCTGGACATTTCCCTACTGCCAGATTTCTCTTGAAAGCCACAATGGCTCCCTCTATTATGGCATCTCTTTACCTGCTCTCATCTATTGTTCTCCCTACTCAATATTCTATCCCCCTCATGATGGAAGCAGAATCAGACACCCAGAGATAAACACTGAGCTTAACTCCCAGAACCAAGTTGCAGTGAGGGGGGAGTGTTGAACAAAAGGGTTAAGACCAGGCTAGAGAACCCACGGAAACAGCTGACCTAAACAAAGGGGAGCTCATGGACCCCAGCCTGATAGCTGAGAAATTAGCATAGGACCAACCCAGACTTCTGAATGTGGGTGTCAGTTAGGAGGCCTGAGTAATCTATAGGGCCTCTATTAGTGGATTATTATTTATCCTTAGTATACGAATGGATTTTGGGAGCCCATTCCACATAGAGGGATACTCTCTCAGCTCTGACACATGGTGGGAGCCTAGGCCCTGCTTCAAATGATATAACAGACTTTGAAGATCTTCCATGGCAGGACTCACCCTCCCTGGGGAGCATAAAGGAGATGGGCTAGAGGTTGGTGAGGGGAAGTGGTGGAAGGGACGGAGAGGGAACTGGGATTGACATGTACAACAAGCTTGTTTCTAATTTAAATAAAAAGGATAAAATCACTACATTCCCTCCATGAGATTTCCTCTGGAATCAGCACTATTACTTTCCAAGCCTTATTTCATACACTTACTCTAATTTAGGGATATATGACTCCAGATAAATCACTGTTTTTTTTTTTTTTTTTTTTTTTTTTTTTTTTTTTTTTTTTTCTGTGGTATGGAGTCATCTACAACATGTTTAGCCTTTGGGACTAGAAAACCTGACAAAATCTGTCGTTACCACTTCATCAGCTCATTAATAATATAAGCTACTCTGATAAGGTTTTCACTTTACGAATCTTCCTCAGGACAGAGTATAATGTTGGCTAAGTTTTATACTGAAAGCTTTATGTATGCAAACTCAGAAGATGGGAATTTAATAGTACACATATGCTTAAATAACCATCTAATACTTTTTTTTCCATACAGAGGATTATTAGCAATGGCAGATTGACAAAGTTTCTCACAGGTATGAGATTGGCAATGGTGGTATGAAAGCTAGAGAGTAAAACTCATTGCTCTTACTGTCACTACCTATGCACCATTTCCTAGATTGCATGACAATGCTAGAATTCTTGAATTTTAATAATTTTATTCTAGAAATAGATGAAGTTGTTCATATATCCAAGCAATCAGGTTTATTGTAGACAGAGCAATTTACAAGTGGGGTATAATATAAACATAAAAGCACAAAATGGCTTCTGGGGTATTACTCCGAGACCACACAGATGTTGCTTGTACATAGCTAACATTTCTAGTTCTCTCTTATAACTGTATACTCTGCGACACCCCAGTTTCAACATTTGTTGATTGAATACTGAATTCAATTCTTAAGATCAATCTAGTGTCTCCGCTGTTCTTTTGTAATCAGACATACATGGAACAAAGTGAATGCAGAGGACTCTCCTGTATTTAAAATTTTAGAATCCAGTAAAATTATATTCTATCATGATTCTTCCTGAAAATGAGAACCTTTTAACAATTTCTTAGATTAATTTCTTAGAAATACCACAATTATTTCTACTCATATCCCTCATGAAGTGTTATTGTCAAAACCTTTGCTAAGAGTTTGACAATGTGTCACAATGTGTCACGGTAAAAGTGATGATATAAACAACTTCTTCTTAGATTTATAGGGCATTAGAGTCTTACTTCCCAAAGTAAGTCTATCTTCCCAAAGTAAGTCTATCTTCCCAAAGATATTCGTCAATTTTTCATTTTAATTTTTTTTTAAATAACAGAGACATACATTATTGACAGAAAGACAAAATATGCCCAATATAGTAACCTAGCCTACTAAGCCTGGCTCAGAAGGTGACAAATCTGGAAGCAGAGCTTTCATCTGCTACTTCTCTGCAGGCATATATTTTCTAACTATGTTCAAAGTATTTATGTTTATAGCTTCACATTCCTTCATCCACTTGAGTAGAATTTAGTCTGGATTTTATAATTTCATATGCAAACTCAGCCAAAGGGAATTCAATAGTACAAGATTGCTATTACCTAAAAAATACTAGCTTTATGCATCAGTATAATAGCAATGGTAGTTTGACATAGTGTTTCTAAAGGGCATGGAATTTGAAAAACATGGTATGCAGCTGGCCAGAAAACTCAGAGGTCCTACATTCAGTACATATTCCTCATGTCCTGGGAGTGTATGCTAATGCTGATGTGCCATTTTAAAATAAGTATACTCTAAGAATAGAAAAATAGAAAAAAGTTAAACTGGATGATTTTAATAGCTCCTTTGAGTGTCATAATTTAGGAACACTTAGCCATTCATAGGGTATTAGTAGTTGGTATCCACAGACAGGTCAGAATTTTCCACTCTAACATTTTTGAATAATATAGAAATCTATAATTATCAGGAAGACAAACCTTAGTTCAATATAATAACCTAACATACTACACATGTTTAGGGAGATAGTGGACCCAGAAGGAGAGCCTTCATCTGCAACTTCTCTGAAGGAATGCATTTCCTATCTCTGTTCTAAATATTTGCCCAAATACCCAGAGGAAACATTATTGCAACGGTTGGAAAAATGCATTTTAAAGCATTGTTGCACAATTCCACAAGTTCTCATATGGCAAAGAATTTGCAATGTTTTGTCCAAGGATTTCTGACCAATCCATGCAACTCACCATTATTCTTAGACTCATAAAATACTGCACGCAATGATCAGACACAATTAATGATCACAAAGCAAATCACAACGTTTAGAAAAATTGAAATCCAGCAAAACACCTTAAATAAATCAAAGAAAGAACCAAAAAATAATAGCACAATGACATCACAAATGATAATGCCAACAAAGTTGGGGAACTCTTTGAAATACTCTCAATTAGCAGAAAAGCAAGGGAGATAAGATGGATGCTAAGACAGAATCTGTTTCTAGTGAACATTAACACTATTAGTACATACAATTCCTAAGTTTCAATGCTAAAAATGGTTACACATAATCACAGCATACTACACACAGTGTGGGTTACTGATGTATACATTTGTATATGTACAATAAAATAAAGTAATTTAAATAAAAAGTGATATTTATTTGACACTTAGTAGTACAGATATAGTTTTGAAGGAGCAGGCAGAAGGAAGTGTGAAATAATACAATGAAGTTCTCATGTATGAAATTCTACACCATGTCAAAATAGAGCACACATACATGCCTGTGTATGTATGTATATACATAAGCACATTCATATACACACACATAAGGGTATGTACATATGGAAAGTAATCTAAATGTATCCAAGTATAGTTGGAGAGATATTGGGAAAAATGCACCCCATCTACCATGAAGGGATTTCAGAGTTATCAGTCTCTGGTAATAGTAATATGTTACTGGGTTTGCTTATGCATACAGTCCCACACTGAAGCTTTCTAGACCATTTGAAAACTATGCTGACACTTCCCAATATGATGGCAACCTGTTTTTGAAGTTGTTATATACTTATGTCATCCTAGAATAGAAATCCATCTGGTGCTCTTCAGAAGTTTCACTGGGATCAACTACATGTAGTGTGACTAAAGGTTAATTTGCATGTTAGTGGATAAAAATCACCAAGAACAAATTCCTCATTCTCATCAATTACAAGCCATAAAAAGAAATAGAAAACAAACTTTAGATCTATTTTTGTCACAGTGACCAAAAAATCAGGGGAGAAATCAATTCTGAGAATGATGATAAAGATCATATAATGGAAGGAAGGCGTGAACCAGACTGCTTTAATGGCCAAGAATGAGAAAAGAATGATGACAGCCTTATACAAAAACAATAACTTTCATTCTACAAGAGTCATATAAATAAACTGAGTCTTAGTGACATTGATATACCCATATGTCTGTGCATCACTTGACCCTCAGAGATTTTACTCAGGCACTAGTTGGGAAATAACATAATGATGTACAGGGAAGGCCTTTCTAGAGAACCCAAAGGTCTTTGAGGTGATATGTTCTGCTTTTTCATGTCCTCATTAAAAAAAAAATACTGAAAGCAGCATGCATATGCAATCAGAAGATGATAGAAAGATTTCAACATATTCAGAAGTGGTTGATGTTGCCAATGTACAACATTTTCCTGTCTCAACTTTACTATCAGACATAGGAATTCAGAGTCTGAGGTAGCAGGCACAAGATAATAGCTGCATCAGTTTAAAGCATAAGAAAGGAAGAGATCCAAAAACAAAGAAATCTGGTGTGTTAATTACTTTCAGGGAAAGCATTAATATCTCTCTGCCATCTTCAATAAATAATTGTTTACCAACAAAGTTCATGCCCTGCCTGATATCACAAATAGAAATGGGCTCACAAGGAAGAAAAAAATAATCTACAAGAGATTCTATATGCCAAAACTCAGTGCCAATGCAAAGTAATACTGCAAAGTTGAACATCAGAGAAGCTAATTGGAACACAATGATAATAAGTAAATTTCCTACACTATAATTTATTGTTCATCAGGAGCCCTGGGTGAGAAACAGGGTAGTGTCTGCAGATGTTACTGATATTTTCAGTGACTCTAACGTTTCCTGAAAAAAAAAAAAAAAAAAAAAAAAAAAAAAAAAAAACTACAATGCCATAGCCATATCCAAAATGGATTTCCCAGAGAAGAGAAAAAGAGTAGGACCCCTTAGTCTGTTACAGATACTAAATCCTGAAGAGAATTATCTTTCTTTCTGATATTGCAGCCCTTCAAGTCTAACACAGGAATGCCACATCTTTAAAGAAAAGCAGTAGAATCAGAAGCATGCTACTTACTGCACAGGAGTTGACATAGTGGTCTAATGCTGGGAACTGTGCAATCCCTGCCTTTGCTGAATTCTATGGACACTCTCTCCTATACGTCAGAAACTGTCTGTTTTGTGTGGGCCTATGTACAGTCAGGCTTTGGTTATATATAGGGGCAAATAAGACCTGGAATATAGCCAAGAGCTGACTGGAAAAAAAAAAAAAAAAAAAAAAAAAAAAAAAAAAAAAAAAACTCTGCAGGCTTTATTTACTGCCCTTACCTATGAATGAAGGTCTGTGTGCATTCAAATTTTGCTTGGAACCTGAACCAATAAGAAAAGTGATCTCAATTCCACCAATAGAAAGCAAATCTTGAGGAAAGCTTGGAGATCTCCTTCAGAGCTGCTGATTCATTTCCCCCAGCAAAACCCAAGAATACAAAGTGAATGACAGGAAAGAAACACAATTTACTTTAGGCCGTGAATTCAATTATAAAAGAGAAAAATGTCCCGAGGTAAGTAGGGGTAATTACATATCCAGCCACTTTGGCCTATATCCTGTTTATCTACATAAAAGCCTGCCTTTCTGCCTGCTGATGAATGATTGGGATTCTGGGCTGCCAATTGCAGCTTCTCGGGAACATTTTCTGATATGTCATGTCAGATTTTCCAAATGCACTTAGTTTTGGAATCTGAGAGGCCCGGGTGCCTAAAGTGAGAATTTGCCCTTACATAGCCATTTACTTAGTGGAGCCTCCAAGGGAACACATGATCAGTTCAAGCCTTGTATCATTCATGCATTAATCCCCAAAGTAAATCTTCCTTGCACATACTGCAGGGTCCAATACTGAGCCAAGGATCACAGATATTAAGGCAGTAGCTTCAGACACAGGAGCACATTTCCTGCACAGCAAACAGGAGAAAGTGATTCAGCAGGAATCTGAGAAATCCCACTTAATCCCTGATATCATAGGTTTTTTTATTGCCTCTGACTGCTACATGTCCCTGGACAGGTTTCCTTCTCTGGACATCTTTATAGTCAGGCTTTGGCTAAATTCCCGCTAAGGGCTGGAATTTAGCCAGGAGCCTGACTGGAAAAATCTTACAGTGCAGACATTTTTATTACATGGGATTGCCTCTGATTGGAGGAGGGCATGCATTCAAGTAGAGAAAGCATTCAGATCCAATGCAGAGACAGATCTCAAATCTAGGTATGGAAACAAATCACTGTAGTTATTTTGCAGTTCACCATCAGTGCTGCTGACTCATCTAGCTCTCCCCCAACACCATGTGTTGTAAAAGAAGCAAGGAATTTGAAAGTAGAATGCCAGAGATAAAACGTAATTTACCCTTGTCTCTGCCTCCATTTAACAGTACAGTAGACAAAACTGGCTAATTGTGGTTGGTGCACTGTGTATGAATCTAGCTATGTTGCCTGGATTCTAGCTATCCACAAAAAGTCTCCATTACTGTTTGGACATATGGTTGTGGCTCTAGGCTGCCAAGTGCATCTGAATGCCGACACTTTGTGAGATCCTTGTGTCAGTTTCTATAACTGTCATTTTTTATGTAACAGAAATATGATAAATATAATTCTAATATATATATATACATATATATGTATATATATTAGACTGCTACACACACACACACAAAACAAAACCTGCTTTAATTTAAGCAAAAATGCTGCTTTAAAGTACTCTTCCAAATAGACCAAACTGGAATAAAATATCTCATAGTGTCTTAGTAATGAATAAGTGAATTAAAATTAAATTAATTAGAAAAAATCTTAAAATATATTCATTGTCTCAAAAATTCCATTGTCTGTTGTAACTCCTTATATGTGATTACACAGTTACCTGTATGCAATGGCTGTCATTTTTTTTTTGTTTTTCAGATGCAATTCATAGTCATAAAATATGTACTTAATATTAATATATAAATATTTTGTTTTGAAAAATCCACCACATTTCCACTACTACAATTTCTCTCCTATTCCCAATATAACTATTACATCTCATGTTTACATTCTTTTTCCATCTTTAATAACAACTGACTTTATTTAACACTTATGTGTGGGCATTGATGTGGAACCATCTTGGCAAAATGAGGAGCCTCTAATAGCAAGTACCCTTGAATTAAGAAAACAAAAAACAATCTTCTTCTGTAAGCTCATTAAAACAAATAGTCATTTTAATAACAGTTTGCTTCATTAGTGCTGTCCCTAGACATACTGGAAATTTTGAATGCTGGGTATAGTACAAGACCTATGTATTTAGTTCCAGCTGTTGGGAATGCATGACTGCCTCTGTGCTTAAATATCAATGAAACAGTGATTTGATGCAGATGTATATTAAACACAGCTGTTATAAGCCACAAAATGATGTTAAATACACAGTCTGGATTATTTATGTTATTGTGCTGTCTTTAGATTTTTTTTGATTGCTAATAAAGTAATGACAGCTGTTGAGACACATTAGATTATGAAAACTGCTGGATTAACCCAACTGGTATATTTTAAAACTGTCTTGAATTCAAAATTAAATCAAAAGATATGTTATTTGGGGAAAGAGATTGATCTTGTATTTCTACAGGAAATGAGAGTCTAGGAAATCATTCCAGGTTGACTTGCATCAGGTTTGACCAGGGAAGAAGCCCTGAAAATCCTGTCTACATAAATAAGCCTAGAAAAACTATAAAACATGTGATGCATATTTTACCTGTTCAAACATAAAAAAAAAATCATCTTTGGCTGAGATGTGTACAATGCATAATCTATACTTGTATTAAGGCATATATTTATTATACCTTTTAAAGTCTATGTATTTTCAGAGTACGGGGATCCAATTATAAGAAAAGGAGATGGCTTAGGTAATCCAACATCTAAACCAGTTGCAAGGCTGCAGGCTAAGATAATACAGCCTCACAGAATACTCCAGTTGAGACTTTAAAATTACCCCGATTTTCTCAAGTTTCCCGTAAAGATAACATCACGCACAAAAACCAGGAATTAGTCTGGGAAATTTAATTGTGAGAACTAGCAGTAATATACCTGAGCCTTTAAACCAATAGTTATAATTATTAAGCCTCTGATTTTTTTTTCTTTATTTGTTTTGTTTTTGAAACTGGAAACCAGGAGAGAAACCTCCATTTACAAAGAGGGACAATTAACATCCACATAAAGCCTTATGAATGTACTGAATTCACAGGAAAACAGCCAGACTGTGTGTATCCTAGTCTCATAGCCTCATACTTGCTATGGCACAAAGATGCCAAAGCATTCAGGCTTGAACACAGCATGGTAGAATTCCAAGGCAGGAGATATAAGTGTTTCCAAGCCATGCAACTGCATGGTAGATTTAGGTCTTACTCATGCAAACTAAACAGTTTTATGTTTACTGTGGTACAAGCTACTTGGTGGCAGCATAGAACAGAGCTGGGTGGGTGAGTATAGCTACCAGAGCTGGCAGTAAACATACCCCCTTCATGTTGGAAAGTCAAAGAGTTTGGAGGCAGTAGCCAAAGCCTCAGGTTTAGACCTCACAAGGCCTGCTTACCATTTTAAAACCTGGTCAAACAAACAAACAAACAAACGAAAAGATTACAGATACACAATAAAAAACAAATTCAGGTAAAAACGCCTCTTAGTAGGTCACTGTGTGCTTGGTAAATGTAGATGGCCTGGGAGAGATATGATATAAAATAGACAGAGTCATTGATAAAAAAAAAAACTAATTAAAAGATAATAAACCGAGATCATTCGGTTATACACTAACAAATAGAGTAAAAAAATATAATGGGCAATAAGAAGATGGAAAACACACATATCTGGATTATGTATATATTTTGTTTTCTTTGAAATTTTTGACTTAATAATGTAACTACAGGGAGACATTTGATGTTTGGGGATTTCTAAGCTAAACCAGCATAAAGGTATCTTGACTTCAAAATTTGCATCTAAAGATATGTTGTTTTGGAAAAGTGGTTCTGCTTTTGTTTCCAAAGCAGATGAAAAGGTTGAAGATTCCTTCCAGTCTAATATGGTTTGGTCAAACAAGACCTCTGAAAGGGTAGCCCAGGTCCCACATCCACATACTTGCCAATATCATTGAAGATTGAAAAACTAATGGCAGTGAGTGAATGCACCTTCTACCAGGACTGATGGCAGGACCTACATTTGGAAAAAGGGGTTAGAAGGGGTATCTGTCTCCATAACATTGTAGTCTGAAGTACACAGAAAGATACATATAAATATGGATTGCAGTAAGGATGGATAAGAAAATGAGTTAGGGAGGGAAGAAGAAGTGTAAGAGAAAGAAATAGAGATACAGAGAACGAACAGAGATGGAGAAACGTATACACAGAGTGATTTATGACAGAGGTAATTGAGAAATGCTTTAGATATCTTAATGGTTTACATTGCTTTGAGAATTTAGGAGATTTCTGCATAGAAATGTCGGAATAAAGGAAATAATGTGAAAAGTTCTTCATTCCCAGGGAACATATTCTCCTGAGGTTTGAACTCACTTTACAACGAAAATCAACAGTTTATCTAACGGTATCATTAACTCTGACTCCTCCTAAACAGCTGAGTATGATAATAAAAGCAACATATTAAATACAGTACTGGTGAATAAACTCAATAGCAAGGTCTTACCTGCTGTAACAGGATTCCTGCCTAGGTCCCGTTGCCACTTTAGAGCACCCAAATATCACAAAGAGACTCTATTAGTTACAATGGCGCTGGCCAATATCTAGAGCTAACTCTGTCTTAAGCATTAACCTATAATGCTAGAAGAATGTTGTAATCCTAGTAAACATACGAATATATGTATTTTTACAAGGTCTTATCTTACCAAGAATGCCAGCCTCACACTTCCTCTCCTTCCCCGGATGTCATGGGGACTTCCTACTACATTTCCCAGAATCCTTCTTCTCTTCTAGTCCCGCCTATCTTGGTTTCCTATTGGCCAAGAATATTCATTAACCAATAAGAGAGACATATACACAGAAGGACTTCCCCATCAACTTCCTGCTTACATCGGACACCACATTATCTTTAGACTAATGAATTGACAGGTTTGTTGCTACAGGGTCAAAGTGTAGTCTTACTCTAATGTTTGCAATCTTTTATTGTATTTGTAAGGGACATACACCCTCTGAGGAATAATCACCAATATGGTGTTAAGAGGTTTGGTTAAATCCTGTTTTCCACTTAATCATAGAGCTACCTCTAGTGCCAAGACAATCACAACCTGATCTTTAGTACCTCATGTATTTGAAATACTTATGATAGTGCATTTGTATACACACACGCGCGCGCGCACACACACACACACACACACACACACACACACACACACACACAGCACAGAGAGACACACAGAGAGAAATAGATAAAAATGTATACTCTTATACATAATTATTTGAGATAGGTTGAGTGGCAAAAAATATAACACTGACTGTCATTTATCAAGTCCTACAGATACCTGAAAGATATAATAGATAGAATATTACTGAAAATTCCAGGAAAAGACACGTACCTAAATAAAACATTTTTCTTAACTCAGAGTACATACACAATTTGCATTATATATAAATCTATATATTACAAATTAATCTCTATTGAATTATTTAAATAACTGTATTTAAGGTTTATATTCAAAGAAGCAATTTCTGCATTAGTGATAAATATCTCCTTTGTGCACTCTGCTGCATGCAGAGACTTGGGGTTTCCACTCCTATACTGCTGCATGTTACTGAAAATATCCAATTTCCTGAGTATCTAGGCTCTACAGGAAAAAAAGTAAGATACAAGGTATAATAATTAACTTAAAATACGTTCATCAAGAAGAGGAATGTAGTAGATTTTAGCTTTACAATAACTTAAGACATAATTCTATATAGCCAAGACATATATTCAGAAATATGTATTTCATTCCAAGTGGATCTGAGAATGCTACAGATGATAGAACTCATCTACAACACTAACAGTAAAACTTAAAACTGGTGCAGCTAGAGGTAGCACATGCCTTTAATCCCAGCACTCAGGAAACAGTGACAGGCATATCTCTGAGTTTGAGTTCAACCCGGGATACAGAGCAACTTTCTGAATAGCCCAGGCTACACAAAGAAATCCTTGTTGTCTTTTCCTCAGAAGAGTTTGGAAAGAATACTGTTTCTCTTTTTTTTATTTAGAGATTTTTCTGTGTTTATGGAAGTGATGTTTCTACTGCTAATGTGATTTTATGATAGCACTTAACCAAGTCTCTTGGAGATGTCTACTCCAAGATTAGGAAAGGCACAGGTGATTTGGCAATACCCAAGATTCAAACTGTAAATGCATTGCAATTAGATGACTTTAGTTAAACAAAAGAGGATATTTAATGGAAAACATTCAGATTAATGGGACCATAATCCCCTGGTTTAAATATTTGTACTTTCTTGTTTGATAATTGTCTTGACCTAAGTAATAACTTGAGTAGCCTTTTAGGAATTACTTGCACATAGCCTTTCAAATAGACCATCTAACCATATATATGTTTTCCAGCCTCCTAGAAAGTAGGTATATGGTTTCATCTTTCATAAATGTAAATATTCCATCTTGTGTCATATACATGTATCCTATGGTGGTATTTCAACAAAGTGTTTATTGTGGCTTCTTATGCTTATGGTTAAAGTCTGTGAATTGTGTGCCATATAGTTTGTCAAATCAGTCATTTTGGCAGAGATGAGGCTGATAGAGATAGAACCAAGTTTTTGTTGATGGTGAGCAAGCTAACTTTCACAATTAGCATAGATAGCTTTTGTTGAAATCTTCGTTGGTAGCTGTTTTACCACGTTTTGGTTGTTTTCTTTTTTATCAATTTCCTTCTCATTTACAAGAGGTAGTAATGATTGCTGATGTTTTTCTTCTTTTTCATATATTTCCTCTAAAAATGGATTATATATTTTAACATGGTGAAATAGTAATTGGTCATCTAGAAATATGACCATCCTCTGAGTAGCAAAACATATTTTGAGCTATAGTCTATCTCGATACTTATGAATCCCATGTTTACCCAGCTAATGAACTCTTATTTTTCAGAATCAGCAAGGACTAATGTTCTTAATATGGCTATTTGATTTTCTGGGACAGGGAAAGAATAGCCTTGAAGTTGACATGTGGCCAATTGTGGCCCTTTTTAATGCTCTTGCCATGGCGTCCTAGCTGCTGGAATCACATGTGTGCAAGAGTCCAGCTCATTATTTTACTTAGAAATAGTCCAAAGATACCTCTTGTTCTTTGATCTCTAATTTTTCTTGCAAATACTAAAAAGAAATATAAATTGTAAATTGACTTCAAGGATGAGAAATTTGGGGTGATATGAATAAAAATATAGGCAATTCTCAATAATGCAGCAGAATACTGAAGGTTAGTACTAACAGACACTGGAACTACAGGGTATAAACAAAGAATGAAAAAGTCTGTTTGCTAGAATGTTAACTAAAACAAATCTTTAAAAGCAGCAAAAGATAAGGAAAGAGATTTTATAGATAGCCAGGCATATTCCAGAGCCAATAAGTCACTGCAAAGTAATAAGGAGTTGTTTTTAAATTGATTCACCAAGTATACGACTACTGTCATCTAAAAACTTATCACTAAGTTTATTACTGCTATTGTTATAATGGTGTCCTTCTTGTTGTTCAATTTCTCCTTAAGAAGCAGAGCCAGCAAGGTGTAGGCTTTCTTTCAGTGTTGCTCTTCCTGGAGTTCCTACTAGTAAGTAGTTCTTATTAGCCTGGTTTTTAATACAGCAGGTACCTTTAGTAAATGTTTGCCTTTTTGTTGCCTTAAAAACTGCAACTTAAGTATTTATTAGTAGCTATTTACATAAAAAGAAATGTTTATTCTTTCAGTTTCCATGTGAATGCTTGTAGATATGACTTTACCAATAAAATCATATATGTAACATTATTAGCTGCATTAACTTCAAAATGCTTAATTTTTACCTACATGATTTGCCTGTTATCTAAAATTCAATATAGTATTATAATTATTACTCTCCATTTATTCCAAAATACTGAATTTTTAAGTTAGACTAGGCATGTAAATATAGTGAGGGTACTGTGTAAGCTTTAGTCATTATGAAACATAGTGCATAGTTCTGTTTCCTTGCTTTGGAGTGTTTATTAGGTTTTTCATGCCAATGATACCACTGATCCTGGTTACACCAATTATGTCAGATTAGAAGATGGACATCAAAGAAACTATGGATTTTACTTTCAACATGTGGCAGGAATAGACATTCGGAAAAGAGACTGCTCTTGCCTGGACTGTTTGACAGCATTCTGTCCAATCTGGATAAGAAAGTTACAAAGAAAAGTGACTGCCGTACTTGCCAAGGGACAGTATGGTCTTTCAAATTCCTGCATCATCAAAAAGTCTGACAGACTTTCTGGTCCTATAGACTGAAAAAGGGCCAAAGTCACACAGGAACCTTATGTCACTGCCTAGGCATCAAAATTTTTCTGTCAATTCGAGATTTGATATATTATCCTTTTGGAGTATTTGCTGGAGTTGGGGATAGATAATTGCGACTATGGTTTATTCTTATTTATGATAAAAGATAATTTACATATAAAATTTAGACTCAGAATGATAGATAGATGATGGAATATTTTCTTTAAATTTTGACAAATATTAATGAAGAAAATCTTATTCACTATATTTCTGGCTTAATAATTATATATACATATGTATGCATAACCTTATTATGTTAAAATTAAAATTATCATTTTAATTTAGAGAGAAAAGAGGTAATAATGAGGATGTTCTTCTGTAAGCTGTGAATATGTGTTTCTCTTATTGGTTAATGAATGTTAGTATTTTGGGCAATGATCAGGGAGGAAATTTAGGTGGGGCCACCAGACTATGAGAACTCTGAGAGAGAAAAAGAGAGAGTGAGTCTCAAGACAAACACTAATAACTACTGGGAAGACAGGACACCCAGGTATTCTCCCATAAGTCAAGACCACATGGAGATACATATATTAATACAAATGCATTAACAACTAGGAGAGAGATAGCCAGTAAGAAGCTTGAACATTCAGCCAAACAGTTTATAATTAATATAAGCCTCTGTGTGTTTATTTGTGACTGAAAGGTGTTAGGATTGGGCTGGAGAAACTTGTGCATGCACATTGCTGTTTATGGAATAATAGCTGATTTTCTTTGTTTTGTATACAGGGCTGGGTGAGGATCCCTGTTCTCACAATTCACATAGTCAGCCATATGTTCCTAAGAAACAGTGTTCACCCAAGAAATCACTTTCAAACAGTCATATGCAAACTTGTGTTGAGGTTTGTTGCATCCTGAGCCCAATTGGTATTTTCTAGAAACAAAACAATGGGAAAGACTTTCTGCATAATCACCATTAGCTTTTCATAAAATAGGGATGCTGAAAAGATGGTACTTTTATTGTGGTGAAATTATTATATCTTCTTTAATTCTCAGGTAAAGTCTTGTGTATTAGAAATAGCTGTATAAGTACATACATAAGTAAATCAACACTCAAATAAAAATCAACATTGGAGTTTTTTCTGGAAAAGATATATTTCTAGTGTATCAGGTTTATGTAACTTTGTAATGGCAAATATCCTAAAAAGAATGATTAAAGTCATCCTTTTCCCTCCTTGCCCAATGTATGGAAAAATATGATCTTATATTTAACTTTATACACCTTCATATATTTGCCTTATACATTTTGCCTCGTTTTATTGGGCTCAGAAAAGTCTTAGAAAAAGTTATAAAACAAGTGATAAATTATGTGAGCATACATTATCAAAAATGAGTATTTTGGTGAATGCAAGAACACAATCATATAAGGAAGTATGTGTCTGGGTGTCATTGTGTGTGTGTTTGGATAACTATAATCATGATCAGAATGTCACAGAATGTAGTGGTGAAAATAAGGACCTAAATTGGCACATTCACTAAATAAATTATGACTCAAGCAAAATGTGGACTAGATATAACAGTACATATCCTTAGTAAAGATGCTTCCTTAACTCTTAAAGAATGACTTTCCTACAGCTTTGAACATATTTTCATCACCCATGATTTAGTTAATACGGCCAAATTTCAGACAAGTTCTGTGAATGTTGCTGAAAAATAATTTTGATAAGATTTATATTGAAGACTAAGACAACAGCAACAACAAATTTTGATACATATATGCTTGCAGATAAATCTCAAAAAGATAATTTAAATTGAGTATTAAAATTACTTAAAATATTCAGGGAAATGAGAATAATACATGCATCTAGGATTGTTTAATTATTGAATGAATTAACAAAATGTGTGTCCAGGGATATAACTGTATTTCAACATATATTAAGTACTACGTATCATTTACCATTATACTAGGTAGTACCTCATTTGCCTCATCATCCATGCTTCAATTTTTAACCAAATATGATGAATGATGAATTCTGAAAACCTCCTATATGTATATATTGTTTATTGTTTACATCCATTTCTCAGACACTCCCTTCAGCTTATCCAATCTACCCTCAACTTATCTAATTTTATTATTATAAAGTAATAAGGCCAATCATAATAACCCTATGTATGTAATAAGTTTTTGGCATATTATTGGGCATGGATAACCAAGCAATATGTGATTTTTACCACACCACACACACACAGAGTGAATATTTCTAAACCAGAAGCTGTCACAAATTTACCTTTACAGACTTTGATTTTATGATATAGACAAGTCAACTGTCCAGTTGCAAGTGAGCTCTGTCCTTTCTCAATAGCTTTCATAAGCTTGGAAATACTTCACAAGAATCTGATGGAGAACTGTCATTAATGCAACAGCACTGCACCATGGAGTCTAAACCTGAAAATACTGAAAATGACAATATCTAATATATTTTATCATAAATTATTTTCTACTAGTTAGGATATCACATAAAACTAGATATCATTTGGGATTATGTGGTCACTTATTTCTCTTTTCAGATGGTATCACATTCATGTACCATGTATTTAACATGTTTGCTATTACCCCAGAAACTGCACAGGTAACTAATTTTCATTTCTCACAATGGGGTGGTTTTCCCTTATTCTGCTCATGTATTTCTCTGTATTATGCTCTACCTAGTCATGGTGTTGTGAGAAGTGCCTGTTCTAAAATATATTAACATATTACCTCAGGATAAAACATACAAAAATAAGGAAATAAAAGCAAATGTCATAGTTTGATTTACAGCCAGAACTATATAAAAAGAACACATTCATATCTGTTTTACATTGGTTTCAGTATTTGAGTGAGGTTTCAGATTAAAAGGATGAGAAGACCCTTTAAATTTCAAATGAAAAATTTCAATCTCCTACTGTCTGCAATCCTGATAATTTTCCTTTCAATACTACAGATCTGTGAGCTCATGAATCTGGTTTGTGTATTCCTGCTATGCACGTACTTTGAGGAATATCTCCCATGACTTGACACTACCAGAA